ATGTAAAGTAGTGTGCAAGTTCTGCTATTTTAAAACAATTCTAAAAGAAAAAGTAAAACATAATTAAAATTTCGGGTAGATTAAATATTTTTTCAATTCCTTTTTTTCCAAACATAAAGACTTATGAAGCCAATATTTACAGTAAGTATTGCATATATGTCAGTAGGGAGTAAAGTACTGTCATAGAGAAAATAGATTATTGTTTACTGTCAGTAATAAAACTGCTCCCACATGTTAATGTTTTTTCCAAAAAGATACTCAAGTAGATGTAACTATTTAGGTCAATTATCCTTCCTTGTTCTCAGCTAACAGTTGTCCTGTGAGCAGATTCCCTCTCCTGAGCTGAGCATCTCTGCAGCTCCTTCAGAGTCACCCTGGTCCTTGGCTGCCTCTCTAATCAATGCTCTCCTTTTCCAGCCTGTAGGATGAGGTAGACGTCCATGTCCTGGTAGGACTGCAGGTGTTCCATCCTCTATTTGAGTTCAGATGATGGATTGAACGGAGCTCTGGGAGATGTATAATATTTGGTAGATGTTTTTTAGATCCTAATCCTGCTTTAACCTAAACTAGAACTTCCTCTCTGCTAGATTCCTTGGTCTTCATGATGCTGCTTGTTCTGAAATCAGCCTCCAACACCAGCACCCAAACCACTGCAGCTGTACATGTGGAGTTTATTTGGTGACCATGTAGTTTGTTGTATTGAGAGGAATGAGAAGAAAACGACTGAATACAAATTTACATCATACTGTTCAAATCTATTTTTCTAAAGCACACTCAAGGTTTGGGGAAAAAATGTTTAGGAGCATAAATAAAATTTCCATCCATAGAAAGGCTTGAAGAGATTTCACAACATTTCAACAACTTAAATCTTAACTCTTTTAATTCCTGAAGTTATAGCCTAACCCTCACCTGTCGAGCCCGTAGCATATCGCTAACGAACACATGGCTGAAGGTCACATCTCTCAGGTAGAACCCAGCAGCCTCCGCCTGCTGCAGACCCGTCTCCGACAGGCAGGAGTCGATTGCCTGGCCTTGGTGAAGCACATAGAAAGATTGTAACCAGTAATCTGCAGTGAATCCCAACATGCTGTGGATCTCCATCCTACCTTGTAACAATCCTTCTTTGTTGTACTTTGTTTCTCCGCTGCACAGAACAAACGCTTTAGAGCAAATATAATCAGAGTACGGTAGAACATCACATCACTGTTTGGTTTTTTCAGCTAGAGTAAAATATTATGGTTTAAATTTGACCAATTAAGAACAAAATTTTGCCATTATTCCACCCATACGTTAATGGAGTATTAAGCTTTCCTTTAAACCACTGGACTTAAACTCAAATCCTTCTTTTCCATCTGTGATCTGGTGGCCAGGAGCAACCAAGGTTGGCCTGACAGACTCATGAGCTGTAGGTGGGAGGGAGCTCTGGGCCTGGCTAATGGGCTTATCCTCATATGCAGACATGCATCAACAGTATCTCTCATGGCTACAGATACATGCACCCTCAAACTCACCGCCTTCCATATGCTCTCATATATGGAAGCGAATCATTACCATATTTAAAATGAAAGAGTATTTTCAGAAATTTCTTTTTCATTTTAAGAATGTGGCTACATTGTTTGACTCATAAATGAAACTAGTAATCGATAATCCTGTTTGCATTTTCATTTTTTCTTTAACACCGCTCATCCTTTTACTTAATTAAAATGAAAAAGAAAAAGTCATTAGACATTTATTTTTCAAAATGTACCCCAGCAAATACATACCAAAATTCAATTTGAAATGTAAAATTTGAAAATGAAAAAGCATTTCCAGAAATGCTTTTTCGTTTTAAGAATGTGTCTGCATTGTTTGGCTCATAAATGAAATAAGTAATCAATCATCCTATTTGCATTTTCGTTTTCTTCTTCAACACTGCTCATCCTTTCACTTAATTCAAATTAAAAAGAAAAAGACATTTGAGATTTATTTTTCAAAATGTACCCCAGCAAATAAATACCAAAATTCAATTTGAAATGTAAAATTTGAAAATGAAAAAGCATTTCTGTAAATGCTTTTTCATTTTAAATATGGTAACGATTTGCTTCCATACTTCCATGCTTACTCATAGGCCCTATGCAGAGGTTTATCTTTTTTTTGGCCTTATCAAAGTGAGATTCAGTTTTTTGATCCTCATCTTTCCCCGGTCAGTGCAATGTACAGTTTTCTAACCGAAGGGCAGCCTCAGGCTTCAGAAAATCACAAAATGCTCACTGTGGTTCTGTGAAACAGCAGATACTTTCTAATCTATCTTCCTAATCCATCTTCAAATTAATAATAAATATCTGAACTTTATTGATCTCACATTGGAGAAATTTACCTCTGCATTTAACCCATCCCCTTGGGGAGCAGTGGGCTGCCATTGTGGGAGCAGTGTGGGGTTAAGGGTCTTGCTCAGAGACCCAGAGTGGCAGTCTGTGGGAGTGGGGCTCGAACCACTGATCCCTGTTTATTCACTGGATTGCTGATTGGCCGAAAAAAGTGAAGCCATCATCCGCCATGCTGGTACTCCACACTCCCACGGAGACATGCAGTAAAAATGCCTACATTGTAGCATTTGGCTGCAAGCAGTCTGCTGGCTGTAGGAAGACAATTCACAGGTAATTTCACAGTCAGTGGATGTACTAACCAAGAAAATCCATATTTACATTATAGTATACTATGTAGCATAACATTAGTCTGACTATCTTGGACTGACTCGAAGATATTGACTAAATTAGCCATTGAGATTGTGTCTAACGTAAGAAAACAGAAAATAGAGTAAATAGAGAGAAATTCACTGTGAAATTTGAATGTAGTAATTCTCTGATGATGCTGTCGTTTTTGTAGTGTTTGTTGTATTTCTCATTTGAAAAAGTCATGTCCTGAAATATATTGCATGTTATATTGACAGAAATAAAAACAACCCAAACATTTGACCCCTATCGATAGAGTTGTTTTTTACCGTGAGTGAATATATATATATATATATATATATATATATATATATATATATANATATATATATATATATATATATATATATATATATATATATATATATTATATATATGTAAGATGTACATGTAAGATGTAATTACTGTAACAATGTAATAAGTACATGTATATTACATGTACATCATCAGTTTAGCACTTTTGCCGCATCTGTATTATTATGCTTTTATAACAGATACATTTTTATTGTGATTGATTTGTATAATATGTTATATTACATGATTTATAGACTTCATAATGACTATGCAATGTGATGTGCCTATTTTTTTCTTTTTAAGTATCCCTTACAAAAAAGTAGTTTAATCACTAAAAGTGTACTAATTTCATCCTTAAAACCAGGCAGTGCACTTAGAGTTTACTTATTCTAAACTAAATTTCATATACTTAACAATAGTATAGTCAAGTGTACTTGACTATACTATTTTTTACTTTATTGTTTACTAAAGTATACTTTAAGTATACTTTAGTAAATTTAAAAATGTCCCAATTTAGTTCGAAGAAGTATTACTTTAGTAATACTTCAAGTACACTAAAAGTACATTGTTCGGTATACTTTCTAAACTTATACTTAAGTATTCTTAATAGAATTTACTTCAAGTATACTACTTTTTGCTAAGGGATAAGTTACTATGAAACAGCAAGTGTTTGTCAAAGTGATGAATTTATATTTATTTTAAAAGTCTTAAGTCCCCCTAAAAAAAAGAATATCATTTTTTTTCGGCGCTGTAGCGCACATATTGTTTACATTGCGACCGGTCTAACTAGGGAGTACCAACATGGCGGCTGGTGGCTTTACTTCAACCCCGTGCTACCAACTGGCAATGAGCAATCCAGTGAATAAATAGAATGGTTCGAAGCACTCAGAACCTCAGCTCTATGCCCTAACCAATATGCCGCCACTCCCCAAATAGACAATTCATTATCGCTCATGGATTTTCTGAGGTTATATTGATTCAATTATTTATTTAACGACATTAAAAAGAAAAGAGCCTCTCGTTAGAAAAGTAGTAAGTGGTATAATCCTGCCCTCTTGTGGTGAAAGTATGGTCCAACAGCCTACACTACACTGATCAATAGAAGCAGTTTGACTACATGCTGACACTATAAAGGTAAGCTCTGCACTGGTGGTCTTCATGTGAACTTGTACTCTTCTGGACACCTGCTGCATTACTTTAAGCGACAGTCAGGCAGGATTATAGCTGTTCGTTTGCCACACCCTTCTGGTTCTGCGAAGCAAGAAAAGCATTATTAGGCTCCAAGGACTTACTGTCGAACAAGCGTGAGTCCAAAGCGCAGCGCGTCCATTCTGTGGATAGCAGAGAGGCGCATTAGAGACGCACAGTTACTGTGGCCAGACTTGGTTCAGCTGTGGGTAGAAGAGCTCATGTAGACAGGACAGATATCAGATGTCAGATAAACAGGTGGACAGTCTGTCCATATCCAACATCTCTGTCGGTGACACTGTTCCCCCTTAAAGTACAGCAGAGCATGGCTGTGACCTGGATGGAAAACCCTTCATGTTTTGAAAATAAACTCTTGATAGTGTGGTGTTCATTCATTTTCAATCTAGAGCAAATACTCTGCAGGACCACTTAAAGCTGCATTTCACTTTATTATATTTTCGACTATAACATGGAGAGGATTTAACAGAATAACCTGTTCTCTAAACAGGTGAAGTTATTTCGCTCTATAATCTGCTCAGGATTAAGTGAAAGTGTTGCACAGAAGTTCCTCCCAGATACCCAAAGACCCATAACATTTCCCAGAGCATCTTAATATTGATTCACAATGAAATCATGCTGCGTTAAAATGTGTCAATCCTTTTTCATAACTTTTAAAAATCCTTTCGGATGTTTCTTACAAATAGATTTCTCGGTTAAATTATTCATTAAGGTCCTAAATGATGTTTTTAAAGTTTTTTAAAGTAAACTATAGGCATGCATGATGAAATATTGCCTCGTGAGCATAGCTGGACAAAGTTTTAGACCCTTTGCAGAAATGATCCTGCTCTGACTCACACTGACTCACATCAGTGCTTGCTTATTGAAGAAGGTGGGCATGTTGTTTACTGGGCAGGCACAGCACAGTCAAAAGGGGCTTCATGGAAAGAGCAGGTCAACACTTTCCTACATAGGATGATTATTGCGTTTGATTTTCCAGGACAGTACGGGGGCTGCTGCTCAGAGAGCAGAATTTATTGTGATTTTTCCAGACATACGCGAATAAAACAAAATAAAAAAAAAACACAAAAATAACCCAGTTTGTATATGATTTTGGTGAAATTGTATTATATTACTATATTATTTAAATGTTCAGAAAAACTTAATTTTGCACCATATAAGCCCTTTAATCCCCATCTGACAAAGATTTGAATAATCTGGGGATTAAATGTAAAAACAAGTGAGGTTTCCTGCCAAGCCTTAATTTTTACAATGAAGTGGCAGATTTCTGGACCAACCGTCTTCCTTGGAAGTTCAGCCACTATTAGTATCAGGTTCTGGAGTCGGTTGGAGGCTTTTTTGGTGAATATCACAGCTGTCTGAATTTGGGCTGACATATACCAAAACTTCTTATTAGGTCTGGTTAGCCATTACTTTACTATTTTTATTTATTTATTATTCATTTATCAGGGGATCTCAGGTAGATGAGCTAAATTATTCTAATGTGAAAAAAGTTAAATCTGATAGTACTAATTACTCTTGTTTAAAAACCAATAGGAATTATGCAGGTTTTTTGCTAGAACATTAGCCCTGCTCTGTGGAGCCTTATGATATGACAACTGTGCAGAACTTTTTTGTATCTGCTGACTCAGCCATTCAGACACTTAAATTCCCATCTAGACCGATGCATTGATCCAGATCCAGTCAGTGTTGAACAAAGGCGTGGGAACCAGTGAGCTGATGTGGTGTCACACCCTTTAAAGCAGACGTTTATTGAGCAAAGGTTGTGCAACAGACATCTGAGGTACATGATTTGAGTTACAACAGTGGAGGAGGGACTCCAGGGGAAATCTGCACCATTCAAACGTCCAGATATCTGAAGATTTAAGACCGAACAAGACAAGATAGGTAAGGCTGTTCCATTATTGCAGACCAAACAATACTCTGTCACATACAGAATTCATATTTATTTATGACATTCATGGTGATCATGGACATGTAAAGCAAAAACTGCACTTTGGCCATCCTGGGGAATGCATCTTCCCCTCTGTAGCACATATCAAGTCAGATGTAGCACCAACAAAAATGACAAAAATGAACATGCATGATCTATCAAAAAGTTGTGTTCCCTCCCCCTTCCCAGTATGGTTTGAGTCCAGGTAGAAGCCTTGCATATTTCCTGTTTCCCATCTCTTTGAGGAAGTTGATGCCTGAATAAAAAAAAGCGGGAATCATCCGAAAAAAGATGGCATGTTTCCCCAAATAGATCCTGCTTTTCTTCCATTCCAGGCTCCCTCACTGCAGAGGTATATGCGATGGATGTGTGTTTCATTTTGTCCAGTAATCCTGAGGTATACAAGATACCACTGATGCAGAATGTGACGGATACAGAACAGCAAAACAGAAAACAAAACAGGGGGAATGAAACGTACTATCTAACTGTACAAGGAACATTTCCAGTCGAACACTCATTTCACGTTCTTCTAAAACCATCTATTTTGTTTCTGGATGTATCTCTTAAGCAGTAAATAATTATATTATAATACAAATGTTTATAAAATAGCAGCACACAAGTGACATCACGACTAGGTAATGTTAATTTTTTGTATAAATGAAACAAAATCATAGCTCATAGCAGCGCAAAAAGACAATAAAATATTGACACTTTTTTTTGTTGATGTCTTCAAACCTCCTCGGACCTCTCTTCACTTTGGAATACAGTATCTCTAACTTTTAAAACCCCTTACAGTGGGTCTGATACCCCCCACAACAAAAACAGCTGTGGTGTCGACACATAACATGCAACAACGAATTTGCAGAAAAGATAAAAGAAAAAAAAAATCACAACATAGTTGAGGAGAGAGCTTGCGTCAGACGAACAGAGGCTAACTGAAGGTGTCCCCTGCAGAAGCAGAGGGGTGGGGGTGTTCAGTTTCACTGGAACACATCGGGGTGCCACATTCTGTCTTCTGACTAATAAACACACACTCAGCAAAATCACATACAGTCATAAAAAAATAAACCAAACATCAAGTCAAAGACAGCTCTCTGTGGCTGGATCATGTCTCTGCACTATTAGCTCCCTCACCCCCCCACGGCATTGGATTTAAATTTAAAGCAGCGAAGCTCACAGGGGCCCGATAGGTTCACCGACTCAAGCCACACACATCAGCTGAAGGTGTTAACGTTGCAAGCATCACTGCGCTTTGACAAACATGTGCAAATACTGAATCCCTCACAACACGTGTATTTGGGCCCCATAAGGATGGGTCAGCGGGCCTGAGCTCAAAATATCAGCAAATAGATCCACATAAAGGACACATCAGGGACCCACATGGGTTCCACTTTTTGCCCACGCTGCAGGAATCAACCTGGTGCTAATGTCTAAAGGACAATCCAATCCAGACTGCATTTTAAGGGCCCTTCCTCCCCATCTGGGCAGCTAACCTAATGATGCCTGGGATCTTACAACCACCTGTCGTGTAGCTCACTGCTTCCTCGCCTGGCCCTCTGTGGCTGTGATAAGGATAAATAAAAAGAAAAATTCAAGTAAAAAAAAAAAAAAAAAAGAAGAATGAATTTCTTGTCAGCGGAAAAGAGAGACCCTGGGTCACAACCTGGACCAAGAATCAGAACTCCGTGTGAATGTTTGAATCAATATTTATTCCCCTCAATCATCAGGAATGTTTGTTTAAATAGGAATGTCCCCTAAATGTAAAACTGTATGTTTTAAATTGAAGTTCTGTCTGATGTTTTGGAAACCAGCCCTACGAAGTAAACCAAAGGAAGGGCTAACGAGGAATAAAAGACCCATTCACCTCCAATCCCAACCCAAAAGGCTGTTTAATGTGACTCATCTGGTTCTCAAAGTGCTTTACTATAGACGTTTATAAAGGGGAGCTGGAATGAACCCTATATGGGAGCCCGCCCCCCTCCAAAAAATAGTTGATCCTTACATCTGCTTTATCATACAGTCTGAGTTACTCATCTGCTCTCCTCAAAAATAAAAACCAGAGAACATCTGTTGTTCCACCAGTGATGTAATGTTAGACATCCTTAACAACGCAACGATTCCACCTCAAATATTAAATTCGTATGAGGCTTGTTTTAACATCTCCTCCACAGCAGCATGCTCCTGCACCACCATAACCTTCTCTGTACAACCATAGTGACTTCTTCACTCTTCAGGGTATCACACCTCACTCGTCTTTTCAAGTTTTGACTCGAAACCTTTAGGACACGGATCCCCGATGCCATACATGGATTTTTACTGCTCAAACATCACCTCACAGCAAACAGAGGAAGTATTAGCTGGATTTCACCTTGTCAATAGCAGTAAAAAAATACCTCCCATTATCTCTGAGTCTGAGGTGAAGTGCTTATGAGACAGATATGGGACTAAACAAAGTCCCTTTGTCCATTATCTCTCCTGGTGTCTCAGTCATTGTTCACCCTTTCATAATCGGTGACTTACAACGAAACATGACGCACTGTTAATGCATTAAGGCAGTGACTTAGCATAGATGCCCTGTTGTAAGGATGGACAAAGCATTTGCAGCCTTGACTCGCTCCATCTTTTTTTTTTTATTTGCACACAGAACTGTAAGTGCCTCATGCTGCAGACTGTTTATGTAGATACAGATGTACACATCCACGCACGCACGCACGCCCACATACACACAGGCCTACGAAAACACAAGCAAACTGCATCCACAAACTGATTCATCCAAGCAGCTTGACCAACGGAGCTTATTGATCAACTCTCAAGTTCCAAAATATTTCTAATGGTAGTATTAATAATTACAAACTAATACCACTAATAATTATAATTCCAGCTGTTGGCTGGAGATGGGACACTCTGACCTGCTCTACAAAATCCTTTCACCGTCCACAGCAGCGGACGTTCTCTGGTAGTGGAGGTACAGGACCTCACCTTCACCAGAGGCAAATACAATGGTGATAATAATCTTTGAATATAAAAAAGAGAAAAAAAAAAATAACATAAGCCCCGCTGTTATTCTGTGTATGCAGCTTTTAAATTAAAGTTAATATACACAATCAAAGGCAGTATGCAAATATGATTGGCTTCCCTTCTCTGTATCCAAGGCAGCAGAGAGCTTTATCAGATTTGTTGCTTTCAGACTAGAGCATCATAGAAAATCTATTTCATGTGCAGATATTTTTGTTTTTTTCTTGTTTTTTTTTTTTTCTTGAAGAACAGATTATCTACAAAAACTAGCAAGCACTGTCCTTGTATTTCTTTTGAAGGGCTTGTGTTTTTAATGATTTTTTTCTTCTTTTGTCCTTTTTTTCTGCTTTTATGAAGGTTTTTTTTCATGACGCTTTTTTTTTTTTAAAGATTTTTGTAAATCCTGTGCAACGGCGCCCTCTGGTGCTTCACAAGTTGACATCGCGGACATCTGTCGGAGTGGAGGACTGATCCAGCTCGTCCAGGCCTTTCCCACTGGGACCTCTCTGAGTTTGCTGCTGCTGCTGCTGCTGCCGCCCTTCGCGGAGGCTACTCTCCAGAACGCGCTCGATCTGCTCCTGGCATTCCTTTAAAACGTCCTGCAATACACATTGAAACAGAACATAAGAATCAACTCAATAGAATTAAAGAAAAAACTTCTTCAGAAAAAAATTGTAAAATTCAATCAAACTCAGGAGCTATTTTACACCTGCAACACACACACATGATTCATATTTAGCTATCAATTTTCCTAAAATATAGTTTCAATTACTTTTATAAGCAGACATGTACAAAGCAACCTGAACCAAGAACCAAAACTACTGTCAGGATGGATGGATGTGAATGACATTCATTCAAACACATGATTGGGGGAAACTGTAATTTACCATGCATCTTTGCGCAAGGTAAATTAGATACTGTATGTGGTAGGTGAAAGCTGGAACTTGCTCTGCAAGATGACTATTCACAGAACCCCAAAGCAACTCCAGGCTACTGATCTTAAACGACCAGCCGCTTTTTAGCTGCTCCAGCTAATAGCAAAACAAGTGCTGACAAAGGCCAGACCTGTGCGTTACATCAGCCCACCAGGGTTGTCTACTGTGATCCATCCCCCACGGTTCTCATGAGCCTAAACACACACAGACACACTTAGACACACAAGCCCACACTTCAGCCTCCTCCATCCATCCACCTTGGTCATTCCCAAACAAAAGCAGCCTTGACAACAGCAGCTGAGAACACAGGTAGCGTTAGAGCTATGTTAATTACATCCACCTCCTGTGGGAAACACAAAAGTGGCGCTTTTTTAACGAGAGCCTGTCTATGTGCCTGTCTGCCTGCAGGGGATCCATCTGAGACCCGGCCTCCTCGGGTTTCACCATCAAAGGCCGCCGTGGCAATATGAGAATCCACCTGGGAGACGGGGCCCTCAGCAGCACTGAGGCCTCATGTCCTTATGCTGATTTTGGGTTAAGAGGGCACAGCGCTGTGCAGGGGGAGTGAGCCCTAAGCTAGGGGAGGCTGAATAGGTTTTCAACAAGTGTGTAAAGGAAAGGTCAGGAGAGTAGCAGTGATTGGCATTATTGAAGAGCTCCACCCTTTAGCAACAGTGCAAAGTGAAGTAATGTCCTGTGGGGTGTTTACATGGAGTAAACACTGCTCTCTGGTGGAGAAACACTAAACAACCTGATTGGCCGGCCTGTGCTCTCTATGCATGAACAGGCATGCATGAGCGCTCTCCTTAAAATGCCAGTCAGGGTCACGACTGGGAGAGATGGGTGAAAGCTCTTCATGAGCAGGGAAGCATTCTTCAGAAATTTACAGCTAATCTAAACCTGATGGGACACAGTTTGAGGCTGTTCTGCAGCCTCTGGTTCTACCGGTACCTGATGAACTGGGAAGTCAACCCTCCCTCCTATCAGTTATGCTTGTGGGGACAAAAGGTTACAGCTTCAAAGGGCAGACGTCATCAAACCTTGAAGGGGCAAATGGAATTCAAAGAGAGATTTCAAATGAATGATTAGGCACTGCAAAGTAGGTGGTGCGGGATGGGGTTTATAATTTGAAACATCCTTTTATGTGATGATGTCACTGAATAAAACTTGATATTAGATCCATTTCAAACCACCGCTGTGTAGCTTGGTTAAGTTTTGGTCAGACAAATTTATCCCAACAGAAGGAGAGCATGGAGGAAACCCAAAAAAAAAAAAACATTGGAAGACTAAATCTGTCGAGGATTTTCACTGCTAATAAGAGGAGTGCACTCTCAATCCTGTTCCAAAAATTCCCACAAACATGAGCCACATTGGTCATAAAATCAGAAATTTAAGAGCAGTGCAGAACATGCAAAGGAACTGCCTGTGTCTTACCACAGGAATGCATGCCTTCACTTCTTTAAAGCCATTCTCCCTCTGTATTTGCAGCTCTAAAAGCAGCATTTGGATCCCAAGCCAAGCCCCATGGTCTTCATTGGAGGACCTTTAATGATTTCAGTGTGTAACTACTGGAAACATCAGCCCTATTTCAGGGGGAACCCAAGGTACCAAACAATGCATTGCCTGGAACCGGAAACAATGTGACCCACTCTTCCCTTGCAGTTAAAGCCTTGATGGGCCCCAGCTCAAACATACATCATTCTGCATCAATGTGCCATAATAACGAATCACAGCGAGCACATAATCCCTGGGCGGCTTTTGTGACACTGGCAGCAGGGGGAAGTCGTGCAGACAGACAAAACCAAAAGGAAGAAATGTGTGAAGCCGAGGAATGTGTTTTAACTGCTGCCTGCACCACAAAAGACAGTGTTAGGAACTCTGGTCAGACAGCTGAGACAAACAGCCAGAGGCAGACATAGAGCTCAAAGAGTCACAAAACAAGATATCCAAGGGGCGACACTGGGAAAGCAGAGACACCACATGACTGAGAGTTTCCACAAGTTCCATAAGAAAGTGTGACCTTTCCCTCTCTTTGGCCTGCATAGCAAACCATCAAAAGTAGCAAGGCCACAGGGATGATATTCCAAAATAATGCATGCCTGTTTCAGGCTCCAGAGTATTACTGGTAATGACAACCTCCCCAGGATGTAGGGAGAAAAAGGAAATGTGTTTCCGGTGTCTCAGCATGTGACCCTGAATGAAGAAAAGACATGAATGAGAGACTGAAAGAAAATGGGTGTCAAAACAATAAAAAAAAACTGGGAAGTGGTCTAAAACCTTTTCACTTCTCTAACCTTTACATCCGCTATGAATCAATCAGGAACAAACTGAAACTCCAGACTCCACTCTGCAAGCTCTCTCAGAGTAAACTCCAGAGAATATGCAAACGTAAATGTTCTCACTTCCCAAAGATTATAAAGCTTAAACCATTAATTTGTAAAGGCCTCAACATTGGGCCCAAACATTATAAGGCCCCAATGTTTTCAGGACCATGTTTTAGGCCCCAGTGTTGTTAAGACCCAGCTTTCTTAGGCCCCCAAGCGGCTTAGGTTCAAACATTGTTAGGACCCAACAATCTCAGGCACCAATGTTCTTTAGAACCATTGTTCTTACGCAAGGACGCTGTAATGCCCCACCACACTCCTTTTGTCCTTTTGTGGTCTCCTTACTGCCTGAGGCCCAACCTTAACCCCAACTCCTTTCCTCAGCACCACCCTTAAACACCGGTGACAAAGCGAAGGTGTTGATTGTATTTTACACAAGCATGAAGCAGAATGGAACGTTTACATTTTCCTTTGCCCAACTGGACATGTAGTGCAGATGTAATGATGTACCCCCTCCCCCCAACCCCACTAGGACTGTGTATATGTTAGAAACAAGATGGATTCCTCCAGCGACCCTGGACCTTGACTTGGCCCTATCGTATTTCCACTGGAAAACCACAGCTTCTGGATACCAAAGATGCCAGGGAGGGTGGCATTGGCGGAGACACTTGTTGGCAGCAGCAGCTGCAAGAGTTGGCAAACTAGCCTTGCCTTAATATTTAGCCTGGCTGAGAGGCTGCCCTACAACTAAGACACCCAGCAAAGTACACATGATATAGGCTGCAGTTGGGCTGACCTCTGAGTCTTGGATCTACATATAAAGCTGAGCTTCTTTTGGCCAAATAAGAAGGAATAATGGTTAAATAGAAACAATCGCTGTTGTATGAGTTAGAAAAACTACTATAAATGACTAATTATTGAGGATTTATACATTTAAAAAAAACTTAGGCTAAGTAAAGAAAGTAAAAGAGATTACATGTAAATCAACAGACATTTTTTTTTTTGCCAGCTACTTATATACTCTGAAATAGAGAGATGCTCTCTGTTCTGCCGCCTGTGTTTACTGTGAGTCATAGCTTGTCTGAATCCAGAAATGTATGGAGTTGATCACAGATGCACCGCGACTTCATTCCCCTGCAACCTAAACACACTGAGGCCCTGTGCTGCCGAGGCCAGAAATTTGTTTTTCCTCCACTGCTATGTGAGACTTCACACAGCTCCAGCCGGAGAGAGCCATGTTTTCCAGCCGTGATGCATCATGATCCATTGGAAGAAACAAGACAAAGCAGATTCTTGTACAGGACTCATGATGCACCCTCAGAGTCCTTTTCACGCTTTAACAGCTTGTTTCCTACCTCCTCTTCCTCGTGCTTCTTCTCTGTTTAGTATGCGATTACCATTCACCACTGATGGTTTTGGTTGGTGTTGTGCCTCCTGACCTGATCCCTGCATGAACATTAACTTAAATTTTTGGCTTAAGTCTGCTGGTCCCAACCAAAAATCACCATCCTCCTGCCAAGCCGATGGCTTCAGAGCTGGAGCTGGTCCCTGTGGCTGCCTGCTGCTCCTGTATATTTTACATGGGTCAAATTCTGATGGCCAATTTCCCAGAAGAGACAAATAAAGAACTCCACTTATGATCTTCCAGCCTTTCACAGCTGTGTCCACCTATTCAGGCTAGGTGTTAGCTAAGCACTCAGCATGATTTCTGTGTGGATTTGGACTCAACTGAGCAGTTTCTGCAACATTCAGTCCAATAACAGGTTGGCCTGCCATCCTGTCAGTGACAGAGCACTATTTAAACCTGCTTTGATTAACAGCTGCACTAAAGGGACGAGGGGAGAAGATTAATACTGAGACAGTTCTGGTTTTACCTTGTTTGCTCCATGTTGTCTTTTTGTAACAATGAAGAAAAACTGTTAACCAAGAGGCTGAATGTCCAGATGTGAACAGTCCAGTTGAAATCAGATTAACAAACATTCAGTCTGGCTGAAAGGGATAAGCTAGCCTGGCAATAAAGCATTGAATAATAGTATTTCTAGCAGGGATGGTCAATCCAAAAGAAGAGAAAGTTCCAAGTCGCAGCAGCAGCTTACTGTAAAAGTTACCCCAGTACATCTAAATGATGTCTGAGATCTAAACTTGAACTAACTGCATCCAGATATTACTCAGAAAAAAAAACCCTTAAAATTCCCAAAGGTCAAGTTTGTTTTTGATGAACTCACTGAGATAAAGCTTGTCAAATGAAATCTGTACTAAGCGCTGCTCAAAACCAAAAGAGACCAGAACTGCATCCTATATGTAACAGAGAGAGCTGACGGGAAACTCACCACTTCTGTGTGGGTGATTTTGGCCAGCAGGTCTGTCAGGCTGTCTCCCCACTGTGAGTGGTCAGCTGAATCCAGCTGCAGGCCACAGATCGCAGCCCCCACGCTTCCTGTGGCAATCATGGAGGGAGGGTACATGGCGAATCGGAAATCTGCAACAAAATTAGTTTGATTGGATTTCAGTTTGGAGAATGGGACAAAGAAACAGGAGGAAAGGACCCACAGTAGCATTGCATGAGTATATTTCATATATTGTTTCAAGGTTGCAACAATGACGAATACAACAGTAAAAACAAGGGCCAAAAAAACGCAGAGGGTCGACAAGGGTCGCATATTTGTGATGCCATGTTGAACCATCTCTAAATTATATTTTAAAAAATTGTTTCCTTCGGGATTTAATGACAGCTTATCTTTGAAACCACCGTTGGTTTGTAACCGATTAATATGCAATGTATATTTGTTTCTTTTTCAAAGCTGTACCCTGTTAACATAAACAACACAGATCTAGTGCATCCCACCATGAAGCAACATGATGTGGAAATTTAACAGTCAGCTAATAAATGCTCCGTCTAGTGCGTCTCTAATGACCAGGGCCTGGATAATGAGGGTTCACTTGTCTTGTAAAGGAGCTGAGAAGTAACCACCCTCACCCGCTCCCCAGTCCAGTCCCCCTTTTCCCCAGCCCGGCCCCTTTTCTTCCATCTCCTGAGTAAACCGTGTGCTCACTGAAAAAAGACCCATTGGGTTTGGAAAAGAAGGAATAAAGAGGCTCAGTGCTTTTGCCAACGCGCACTGCTGTAGGTCCTTTTTCCACGTGTGGTCACAGGCGTGCGTCTCAAAGACCAATAACCTTGTTAGCTCCCCTCACTGTCATTCATAATGCAAATGAGACAGCTTGTGAACGGGCCAGAAGCCCGAAAAGGCAAGAAACTGGCATACAGTGAGGGGCAAGGGGGGAGCGGGGGGAGACAGACAGAGAGACTTCTCCATTCTCTTCTTATGTCTTGCTCAACTTCTACCTTCCTTTATGGATAACACATGGCCTGCTAAGAAAGAGTCAGTGAATGGCACACATGCCCCGCTCTTTGTTGCGACACCAGGCAGCGGATTGCGTTGGCGGCCATCCTATCTGTTAGCATATTAATAGAGTGCTGGGCCTGTGAGAGGGAAGGCAGAAGAGTGTGACTCCATTGTCCAGAGTCATCACCTCATTTCACCCAATTGAGAGACACAGCATCCTTCCCCTATGCACCGATACCCGGAGTTCAGCGAGAAGCACCGGACAAAGACAGCGGCTGGCTATGGGGAGACAGAGGGAGGGAGGGCAACAATGAGGAGGGAGACCAAGACCAGCCGGATGGACAGTGTGGCGACAAGGCGAGGAAGAGAACAGGGAAAAGGTGAAGGGCAAAGGGACAGGCTAGGCGGGGTAGACATCTCTGCTGCACTCACCCCCCCAGTCTGTGTCCAGACCTTTGTGAGGTTTTGGAAGAAGAAAAGAGTGGCCCTCTAGCGACCCTGCCCCCTCTCTCTGTTCCTGGGCCACCTATGGATGAGAGGAGTGGGCAGCGGGGGCCTGGAAGCAGCCTCCTCATTACCATATTGCCATATTCAGTTGCAAAGCAAACCGCGTGCGACGCCTCTCAAGGAGATTTTTCTTCCTTCACTTTTTTTAGATGAGGAATCAAAGAGGTCGGCCCTTTGATAGCTGCAAAGGCAGACCCCTCTCTGCCTTTTTAACATGCAGAGCCAGGCGCTTTCTCATCTTGTGGGCTCAGTGTTGACAAATAAATGAACTTATTATACAGCCTGTGTTAGCTGCCGGGTCTTTGCCAGGGGCCGATTTATTAAAGGACCCCTCCAGCCAAGACGACGTTGCACAAAGAGCCCCTAGCATTACATCATTGCCCTAAAAACAGCTTTCTACAGAGGGGTAAGAGTACAAAGGAATACATGGATTTACTGTAAGTCCGCAGAGAGGACAGACTGAAAGGCAAGGCGACAGACACCTGCAGACACATGCATGGAACAATGCCTGCAGTCTAAGACACACACACACAGACACACACAGAGCACAGATGTAGTTTTGTGTGTCACCGAATGGCAGGCAGTGGGCAACAAGCTGATTTTTCACACTCCAGACAAGACAGGTCTGTAGCAGAACAAGGACGAGCGCGTGCAGCCGACGCGGGCTGACACTCTGGCCTGGTGGCTCCTGCATGTGGGGGGAAGAATGGCTGTATTTTAGGAGGCCCTCATTGATATTCATGTCGAGGATAAACAGTGTAGGTAGCTGAGTGGGGACGCCTGCGATGGAAAGCTCCCTGTGAGCAGCGGCTGGCTGGCATGGCCAGAGCGCCTCTCACCCGCTTCAATGGTCTTTTCTCCTGCCTTTGCCCCCTCGCCTTCATTCCTCCATGTTCCTACCCCATGAAATTTCATCCCAAGCCCTTCAGTCACACAGCCCACTGCCCTACATGGAACCCTCCTTCTGGGTGTGCGCTTTAAAAATGTAAATTAAAGTCAGAAAGTTGAACAACAGCCAAGAGAAGAAAAAAAAAAAAAACTAACTTGCTCCTCTTTATCATAGATGTAAATCAGGGTCTTGTATTCTAGGCAACATGTACTGAACATGTTTCCTATAGAAGCAGCATGACACATTGGCTAATCAAGGTTCATAACAAAGAGATTTTGGGGAACGGCGTGACATTTTGTTTTACCACTAACGCAACACAGGCTGGTAGCATCTATTGCCACAGATTGAGTCACACAGACGCCATCAAACCTTAAAACTGGACTCCCAAGTAGAACATACTAGAAGATGACAGCTTGGTTCTAGGAACTCTCAGATTCTACTGCATGAGCAGCATGTAGAAACTCTGGAGAGAAAGAAGAACCTCTGAAGCATATGAGTCATTTAGACTCTGGACAGAAAACAGAATTCCTTCTTAATTGCAGCATCCTGAAAACAGCTGTCTTCATTTTTTCACCAGCAGTCTCTGCTGCTTCTACCCTGCGTGCAGATCGGGACGGAGAACTCGCATTTCCATCTAAATTGTTCAGTAAGTTTTAAATAAATCACACTCTAGCGTAAATCAATAAAGCCAAGGAAAGATTAATTAACTTTAACTATTAACAGTCTAATTAGGAGATATGATTTTGAAAACTTTATAACAAACTACTTATACCTATAGTTAACTTCATATGATTCAAGCGTCCCTTCTGATTAGATTTAATTTTAATATTTTAGTGACGCAGTCAGGATCCTGGGCTGTATCTGATGGAGAATCAGTTGTGGGAACTACTGATTAGGGTGATGGTGAGGAGTCCTTCCAACTAGAACTAGAAGCTCATCACCAATGATGAGGGGATGTAAAAAATCTAGACAGCTGTTAGGAGGCTTTGATTGATGTGATGTTAAATTTTATTATTATTATTTTTTTTTAAGAAGGGGTTTGATTTGTTTTGATATGCGTTTCTAAAATAAGATGTTAAAAATCCACATTAATAATTGTTCTACATTTCATGTCCCTGTGTTATGAAGAAATCTGGGCTCAACTATCCATGTCACAAAAGCTGTGGGATTCCCACAGAGTTATTAGTCACTCTCAGGGAAAACAGACGAGCACAAAGACTAAATCTCCACGTTAAAACAGGAAAAGCTAAATTTACAAGTCGAAATACTTGTGGCCAACATGAACTCGAACAAAACCGCAGAAATGTAAGAGAGGATAAATGGAAGATCTGTGACTCAGCTGGTGATAATATTTAGAGCGTGGTGCTGCTGATTATACCAGCAAGGCGGTGGCTGAGAGAACGCAGGATATGCTGCTGGATGAATCAACCTCCCCCCCCCTGCACATGGCATCCGAGCCTGTGGAGAATGAGGAGCGTGGGGATAATTTGTCGATGTTCTGACAAACCAAAACATGAATGGGCTTCTATGTAAACAAACGCTGCTGACCACATCTGAAATGAATCATCTGTCTTTTTAATGGTGAATGGAGCCTACAGGGAGTTCCTCATGTAACGGCTATGTTCTGGATGGAACGGAGAACTTCTCTGGTGAAGAAAGACACTAATGTTTGGAGGGTACCATCAATCCTGGCAATTTTAGACAACGTAATAATAAAGGAGAGCTCTTTATCTTCAAGACCAGTAAACCCATAGTCCCAGTGGACAGAGCCATAAGATAACGGGTCTGCTGTGGTGCAAAGGGATGGAGATGTTTGCTCCTGATGGGTCCAAAGTAAATCACATGACAGCACCACTATTCTGGTCCAGGAGCCTCAGTTTCTTGTTCTAGCTGACAGCAGTACTGCCTCCTGTTCTTCTTTTGCTGTGCCGTTCTGCATCTGCATTTTTCTAGTTCTTTAATCTGTTGTATCCTTGTTATGATCTGGAACCAGTTGACCCATTCTCCTCTGACCTTAATAGGACAGTTTCCTCCAATCAGCTGCTGCTCTCTGGATATTCTCTATTTTTCAGACCATTTTCTGTAAATATGAGAGATGGTTGGGGGTTTAAATAACTAGTTCATCAGCTCAGACTAGAGTCTGGTAGCAACAGCCAGACCATCTTTAATTCCGTCCGCAGTCGGATGGGTAATTTAAACATCGTCTTGAATCAATACATTTAACACACCCCAGACACCAATGCCAGAGAGAAGTAATTAACTACTCCTTCAGAGATAAAAGAAGAAATCCGTCTCTTCCTTCAGATCCCAGTTGTGTCTTTTAAGATTGCTGGACTTGTTTGTGGACAGCGCTAAGTTGGCTTGGCTCCAGAGTTTCCTTTTGATCAACTTCTATGACCGCTGCCACAAATCCATGCATACCATTACAGAGAGGGCTGCTGGATGCTGCCTTTCATGCAGCATAATCCCTGCCAATATGGAAAGAAGACGGAGCTCAATCAGCCCAGCAGACAGGTTGGGGTGCATCTGTCTGCCCCATGCACCCCATCCATTCTCCCACTTTAGCTCCATTGAAAGAATAGAAGAGGAAGCACTGAGTGGTTGGTGTCTGTGTGCAGGAATGGAGGTTCATAATCTCCCTTAATGAGCTTGTTTCTGAGCTATTATCCGGCGGCATGCCTGAGGGAAGAGCTGGTGTTTCCTATCAAGAGGGGCCCTGCAGTGTCGACCCTCACATGGCTCTGCATATGAAATGTGAGGGCCAAGCCCTTTGTCTCCTTTCTTCACGTCTCTAGCAGAGTCCATTTACATAGGCCTGAATGCTTACTGGTTACCAATGTTATTAATTAATACAGAACCAGCCTGCGCCACCTGACAGAATCCCACCGAGTGGCCCGAACGGAACTGTTTCATCAAAAGAGAGGAGCCATTAGGAAAGAGAGGCATTATTCTCTGCTCCTCCTGCTTGTTCCCTCAGAACAAAAAGCCAGGAGTTTTTCACTGCAGCAGCAGTGGATGGTACGTGCTTGAATGAGAAGGCACCAGGTGACCTGTTGTAACTCTGCTTTGCAACAGGTCCCCCCCCCCCCCATGCATGATCTCCTCTTTCTGGTATGTCTTCACCTTCCTAACCCTAATCAGAGGATGTCTTCAGGTGCATTCTTACAAGATAAGCCTCGGATTTATGGCTGGGAATGTCATGTAGAAACGGTTTGAATTCCCACAGATCTTCAAATGCACCAAACTGTAGAAGCACTCGTGTGCTCTTTTCCTCCATTTGCCTAGAGAAGAAGTGCTGAACCAGAGGGTCTCCACAGTGTCTCTCCTGGGTTCAGGAGGATCACAACCAAGCAGGCTCATAAAATATTTTCCAAAGCCTGATCAAAGCAATTAGGGACAAAGACGACGTTGTTCCTTGAAGCTTTCCAATGAAGAGCCGGATCTCAAAACTCATCATATATCTGCAGCCATTTCCACCGTAAACATCCTAACCTTCACACTGCTATGCTAAACCTCAGAAGGTGAAGCCTGGAGATGATAAAAAATGTTAGCATGACAAGGCAGTGGTGTTTTCTGGCTCTACACGTGGATGACCATCACTCACTATATATATATAACTATATCTGTTTTTGTTAATGTTTCTTTTGGTGTTTGATGCATGAGATGAAGAGATTGTCAGTCTTTGTTGTTAAAATTAGTGCCAAAGGCAAAACCCATTTGTTTTCTAACTTCTAAAGAGAAAGCACTTCACTTGGATTGGATCATTCCTAGAACAAAGATCCGACTTCCTGGACCAGTTGAAAGAGGGATAATGGTAGGATTTGCTAGAACTGGGCTCAAAAACAAAACTCCGTTTAGGGTCTTTGAACCAACTTTGGACCAACCGTGGAAAGTGGATGTGTCCTTCAACCACTATGAATAATTCTGGTTGAAGTTGGGATGTGCACATTAAAAAAGGAAAGAAAGAAAATTAAAAAAGAATGACATTAAGTTGGAATGGATATGGTCACCTTTTGAAGCTCTCGCTCAGACAAACACCTGCTGCATATCTTCCTGTGTCTTACCTGTGGCACAAAGGGCGATGAAGGTCTGGACATGCTTTCGTATTAGTGCCAGCTTATCATCGGGGAGTGGCAGCCTCCTCACAATGTGCTCAATGAAGTCGTTTGGTGTTACGGCTGCCAAGTTCCACTTCAACTTCCCCAAAACAACCAGTTCCCATTCCTGTAGTGGGAGGGCAAAAACATCATAAACTATTTGCAGTGATTGAAAAAAAAAAAAAGGTGACATAAAAAGTGTTTTGGGTGTTTAGAAATCTGCTGAAGATAAATATTTCTTCAGATTACTCTAAAATCTGCCCGGTGAAGTGGTAAACATGTAAAGGGTTAAATGCAGTTAGCTTTAGATCAGCTTCTGATTGGCTGGGGCTGGACAAGGGAGCCAAACCAGGTGACTGCACAGCACTGTCTGCATGTCGCCTGTCTGCTTGGCATCCTGGGACTTTCCTTTAGACTCATCAGAGGTTCCACTATGTGAGTGAGCAGTGGGACGGATGGGAACACTGCAGGATCTTTGGTAACCAAAAGCTTTCTTTAATCTCTGAACAGAAAAAGTTTAAAAAGATGTTGCATAACTACCATCAGATTCTCTTCCTTTAAAAGAGATCTAGAAATCTCTGCTGCCTTATGATATCCAAAGTGTATGTGAGGTTCAGTCTTCTTCAAAAACATTGTTAATTTCACTTCCTGAAGGAGGAGGTGACTAATGTAATGGAGGATTGTGACTAATCTTAGGGACGGGGGGGGGGGAGATCTTGGTTTTCTCTGCAGCACCGCAGCCATGTGACTTTAGATGTTTTTTAAACCACATGGACTTAGTCATGAGAGAATCAATATGGCTGAGGATGAACTTTAAGTGGGCCTTCATTCCTCTCGTTTGGGTCACCGTCTTTAGACTTTCCTTCTGGGATTTTTAAACTGATGAAATAAGTTTGTTTTCACCTTCAGCAATGCACACACAAAATAAAATCTTTCTAACGTCAAAGTTAGCACATTCATAAATCAGGATTATTGCACCTCTGCTGCCTCCTGATCACAAACATCCATCCATATCTAAATCTGCATTAAACAGGGAAAGCCTCAAAGAACACTTGCAACAGATAGTCTATGCTGACAGAGTGGCAAGCAGGCACCCACTTCCTTCTGCTTCTGCCTTCCTCTGGTCACACCTTCTTTGCAAGATTCTGGTTCATTTACAAGAAATAGTTACTAAAGATGAGCACCAAAATGATCACATGCCCCGAGCAGCTGATCTCTTGCTTCCTGTACGTGCATGTGAGCCAAACTGCTGCCTTATACAGAAACAGAGAGTGGAGGCCCCGGCAAACCAGTTCAAGGACTGAGGGCTGCCTCCAGTTTAAACATAAAACATGGGCAGATTTCTGTGCTGCTTTGGAGAAGAATAAATCTAAATTTTAATACACATTTGAATGCTCCCAAAGGAAAATATGAAACCAAGACACAAAAAAGGATTAAATGCGACACTATAAACCATTTTAGAATATTATTAGAAACTAAAGAGACTACAGTGATCGACTCAGAGAGCAGGCAGCGCAGCAGGCCCCCACAAGTCTCCTCTTTCACAACATGGGTGGGATTGGCTGGTCTACCCAAGAATGTTTATGTGGCACCACAGAGCAAAGGAATCATGAGGAAACACTTATCATTTATGAAAATGAGCTAATTAATTAGTTTGTCTCTACAGGCAGATATTTAAGCTAATGTCTCTCCACCAACAAGCTGGAACCATAAACTTTAAATCCATCTTCTTGCCTGCATCCCAAACCTTGCTTTAAACATATCTGTGAAACAGGACATAAAATGATGCATCTATGGTTGTTCTGGGAGGAGAGTTAAACTGCAAAAGGCATTTCATTTTGTGTGTGAGTGTGTCCCTCTGGCTGTCAGGAGCACAGTCACAACTTAAAAGTGCAGTTCAGGCGACCTCATTGATCTGTGTGAATATCTGCCACCAGATGGCGATAGAGACCGTCTTACAGACTGTCCTGGTGCGTACAGTAGACAGCCTGTAGGGTCTTTTTACAGTAGAAGTTACCCTTGTGGAACAATTCTCTGTGGCACATTGGTCTTTGATGCGCCTCAGCTGAAGAAGCAGAGGAGCTTCAGCAGAGAGGAGTGCAAACTGGGTGAAACCAGGATGCTGCTGATACTTTATCAAACTACATTTTAATTCAATAAAATGAATAAAATGAAGGCCAACTCTAGAATAAATTATACAATTTAAAAACCTTTTTTAAATGTTTTTTTGTGTGTGTGTTAGGGCAGTTGATTGTCATGTGAACAAAGTGAAATTAGTTGAACCAACTGGTGCTTACCAGCAGCTCTTGTGGTCTAATGGAGTTATCTGTGTAGATGCAAAGCTTCTCTGCAGTTAATGGACGAGTCTCTTTCAGTTTGGAAGCAAGAAACATGCAAACTGCCCCCAGCAGCTGCAGGTTGCACTTTTTGATTGGTACCATTGCTAAAAATCGGTCCAAGTAGTTCATGGCCAAAGGAAAAACTTCTTCCTCGCACTTCTGCTCTTCGCAGACCTGAATAAAGAGACAGCAGAACATGCAGCATTTTTCAGTCACATCACTTCTTTTCAAATGTAATCCTGCTGCATAGAAAACCTTTATGTTGAATCGAAATAAAAAATATTAATTACTTAAAGAGTGATTTTAGTGACACACATAGTTGGGGTCCGGCCAAGAATTTGGCCCAACCCAAACCAGTTGCGACACCATGCATTAATTCCGAATCAATTTCTTTACAAAGAACCAAAATAAGTGTCGGATCCATATTGTCAACAGAACCACATTCCTGCAATTCATTCACCAAGAAATGAATTCAAGTTGCAATGAGCCAAGCCAAGCTTAAAAAAAAAAAAAAAAAAAAAAAAAGAAAAAACTCCGACAGCAGCACACGGAAACTGCCTTTTTCCTCCGTCGTCATATTTTCATAAAATATTTAAAAATATAAATAAATTATCTACACTCTTTTTCTTAACGTGATAATCTTCTCTGAGGACTTCCACATCATATCCGACCGTTCTCATCCGGATCCATCCACGATAAATAGGATAAAAATGTCAAAATAAGAAGCGAGTTGCGACTGGTCGCTCCGAAGTGCGTCACCGTTCAGCCGATAAAATTATTTCAAAAATTAATAAAAAATCTCCAGTAAGTCGCACCCTAACAAATTTGACATGAAAATAAAGCTTAAAGTGTCCCCTTTGTTTCCATGTAAACCTTAATCAAATAAATTGAGCCATTTTCTAAAAATCGAACCTAATTCCAGAGAAAGCGCCAGAGAGCAGCTAAGGCCCTCGCCCCTTCCGACATTTTAAACAGATACCCTTAATATTTGCATCGTTTCATAGGCTCTTTTTTGTGTTAAGCGGACACCTGAGCTTCTTTTCTAACATAACCGAACCTTCCCGGGTGCTGTTATTGCGTGCATGATTTTGTAAACCATCTTAAAAAGCAACAAGTGCTTCTGTGAAAAGCAATATGGCGATAACAGCGCAAGGCAGCGTTGCATGGAGGAGTGCATACGTGTGCATGGAAACATTCATGTCAGCTAAAATAACACAAATATCAAAGGAATCATCCAGATCCCCATGCAAACAGCCACAGAAAGAAAATCTGGGCTCCTCTCCGGTACCAGAACCCAGTTTCAAACAAGGGAGTCCGGATGATCGGACTTTAAAAAGAAAAGCGTGCAGGGATCGACATATTAGGTCAATATCAGGCACCGACTGTCTGAAAAAAACAAAAACGATCAATGTGTCAAAGCGGCAGCTCAGAAATGACAAACATTAGATTTGAAGCAACATCAACGAGAGGTTTTAGAGTCGAGCACGGAAATAAGAGTTGTGAGCACAGAGCTGCGTCCGTACCTCCAACATCCAAGTAGCGACCATCCTCCTCATAAAGGGCTGAATGTCTTTCTGGACGCATTTAAAATAAGAATACTGGGGCAAAAATCTCTCCTCGATAGTCAACAATCTCTGCAGAACTCTGTCATCGCGCAGGAGGTTCGGATCGGGACGAGCTCTTATGTTGGTGTCCATTTCGAGGCAGAGCAGCTCCATGGTGTTGGGGGCGGAAGGGGGAACTTTCAACTTAAGTTATTAAAATAAAAAGCAGAATCTGTCCTCCGGACGCGTAAAAAGCTGATTTCAAGCGCAGGGACGCTTAACAAGTAGCAGAGAAAGTCTTTTAGAGGCATAAAATGAGAGACTACAGGGGCTCCGTGAGTCGTCCTGCCTCTCCTTGCTACGAACTTTTTCCTCTCTCTCCACAGTGCGCCTCTATCTAATCCAGTGAGCGCATTTGAAGCCTGCCCTGCGTGCGCCACTGACGCAATTCGCTTCATTAGGTCTGCATAAACCAGATGCACGGCTGTTCTGCTGTCCCCTTTTCTTTCTGTCCTGCATGCTGAGGCGAATCTGCACAACTTGGAGGATTTTACTTAAATGCACAGAACATAATCCTCATTTCCAGATTGCATTTGTTCTTAATTAAATTGATATATTTTTTGTTATTTAAGATATAAAAATAACTTAAACATAAGAAACACAGAGATTAGATGTCTGCACCAGGTTCAGACAATTTATTATACACAAAGGCTCACACATTTTTTCTTTTATCTCCAATTCATCTTTGTTACAGTATTATAACTGAGCTTTAGTTTGCGTGTGAACAAGAAGTGAGTATTTGATTTGTAATTTTAACTGCGTGTTGCATGGATGTTCTCAGGGAACTTGATGCATTCAGCACCTTTATGCATGCAGAAGTAGCTCAATGCGTGTAAACATATTAAGATGCATGCAACAGCGCGCGGAGAGGACACAACCACCCATCCACCCACAGTGACATACACACACCCACGCACACATACATGGACACATGGTCTTACGTGTTACTTTTTTATAGAAGCCACGAAACAACTTGTGGTTTATGAGATAGCTTTCTAGGAAATTTAAGCGTTGAAGTTTTTCTTTCTTTTTTCTGCATTATCTCCTGCAGATAACAGCAATATATCACTCGTTTGCTTTGCCTCAATTAAAAACCAGTCCTTGCTCTAAATCATACTATTATTCAGGAGATTGGGTGTTATTTGCATTGAGAACAAGCTGGTGGAAACCAGGCAAAGGGCAAACAATTAAAAAAAAGAAGAAAAAAATGCAGGAATGATTTAGCAGCACGCACAATCAGAAAGGGAATCTGCATGTGTAAATATGTTAATCCCCGTCCCATTCTTAGTCGACTTCAAAGAGAGAGTCTTGAATGAAACAAGACATCAGCGCATGAGGGGAAGACAGAGGGCTGTTAAGTCCTCGGAGCTTTGGAGCTGTTAATTTCCATCCCAAACTTGGTGCTTATATGGGGATGCATATGAGAAAAGTGGGGGAAATGTCTCTTTAAAGTTTTTTCTTCCCAGTCTAAGTTTTTTTTTCTTCCTCCCAGCTCTATTTGCATAGCCAATAGCTCTGCAGCTCTTAGACGACGCTGTGCGATTGTTACTGGGCAGACTTCTCCTTTACCTCCCTCTCTCTCCTCCCTCTCTCCGTCCTGGTCATTAGTCAATCATGCCCCCAAGCCCACCTGACCCCCGCCTCTCTGACTGAACTGATTGGCTTAATGAAGGAGGGGACTTTTGGACTAGCAGTCGGGACTTCAAACATGGAACCAAATCTTTCACGTCCAGTTATTATAAAACCATGACTTATAAAGGAGCAAAGAGTTTACATTTAGATTTGCGACTTTACTTTTTGACTAATCAGACTATATTTCTCTTTACAACAAAACTTTCCAGGATCAGAAAACACAGTTCGAAATGTATTTCAACAGTAGTTTTTTTAAGGAGAAAAAAAAAAGCGGTGAAATTACATTTTTATTGCAGAAGCAGATCAGACGCGTTTTAAACAATCTGCGCTCCCCACCTCTCCAAGATGCGCAATTACGCACCCTTACTGCGCACCTCCAGCTTTCCCTAAAAGGAAAAGTTGTTTGTAGTTTGCTAACAATGAATAAATAAACATGAAACCTAAAAATCAACCATTAACCATAAAAATTTTTTTTTTCATTTAACAGAGGAGAAAATCACTTAATAAAAATAACAAAAACAAAAGACACATCTGTAGAAAAATAAACCAATAATATTCTACATCCACAAACAGAAAAAAAAAAAAAAATCAATTTTAATTAGACAAACACGACTCAATCGCCCAAATTAAGCATCAATAAGCTTCATATCACCGCATCCAAGCCTGGCTTCATGCTTTTTATCTGGCAGTCAGAACAGAAGCAAATGCGCGTTCATGTGCCCGGAAGTCTTCAATGATCACATCCGAATAAAAATTGGAACACATGCCTTTTAGAAACCAGACCGAGTCAAGTAATTACTCAGCCCATAATAGACTGGGACAGAACCGATCAGCAGAAACAAAGTTTGAAAGTTTGGCTGAAAGCTGGAGGTTCTGCTGCAAGACACATCTTCTGGTCTGAATCACAACTTTAGATATAAAACAGAAAAAAACACGAATCATTTATACATCATTAGTAATACTTTTACTATAAGTTTGATCAATATAATAAGTTTATATTGATCAAACCGGATACATCTATTTTTTAAAGATTTTTAAAAAATAAATAATTGAGTGAAAAGCAGTTAAATCCTCTCTGCATTGGTGGATGTTTCAGGGTTTGATCTAAAAAAAAGAGATTTTAAGACGGGTCTAAGAAACAGGAACATCTGGTCACTTTTTTTTTTAATTTTTACTAGTGACTCATCAGCATGCGTCCCGCACCTTTCACGGTTTAAATCAGCAGCTCAGCAGCCAATCAGCAGGCGGCTCATGCGTAAGACCCGTCTTACCGACACCAAGAGGGGGACCAGAAACGCGTCGGAGGGGAATTTGGCGCAGCAAGAGCTGAGAAATGTCAGCAGCTCATGTGTTACAGGTTCTGGATATAAAAGCCACCGAGAGACGAATTTAAAAGCCCCGTTTTTTTTTAAGAGTCATACTGTTAAGTCATTTTTCCTTACATTTATTTATTATTCAAAACAAATTGAAACACATTTTTCTAAAATCTTGATATTTACAAATAGCTTCAATTTATGCAATTTAATACAATTATTGCTCAAAGCAGATTGTAGAAATCCAGACAGAAATTAATAACGAATTTATAACAAAAAAAAAAAAAAAAAAAAAAATAAAAAATCTTATGTGTATTTGGAAAAAAAAACTACTAATGAGGAAGAAGAGGAGAACGTTTACATTTAAAACAACTTGTCTGGTTTTTCTTTAGAAACTAAGAAAATATAAATTGTTCTGAAAGAGCCTAAAAAATCTGGATGAGCTTGTTTTAGAAGGTAAAATCTTTCCAGGTATGTGAGAATCCTTCCTAAAGACAACAATCCTGCATCAAGAAGCAGCAGAGGAAACATTTCATTTCAGCCCCCCTCCCTCCAACAAAAATCTTAAAAGCAAATAAATAATCTGATCATTTTCTTCTTTATTCTATGCTTCTTATTATAAAGTTAAAGAGATAAATCACAGAAATCAAATTAAAATAATTTATAAGAATAATATTAATAGGAATAATTTTTATTTACCTATTGATAGAGTTCAATTTTCTATAAGCATTAATTTCATATCTTTGATTTGAAGGTTTACATTATTACATTTTTTGCCAGAACTATTTTGTATAATTATTTGTGATAAACCAGGTAATAGTAGGCTAAAATGCCTTATTAACATTAGATTAAAATGTATTAAAATAACAACGTCAAATAATCCAACACATTTTTCTATAATAATAATTTTTTTTTTAGATAAACCAATTTAAAAGTTGTGTTTCAGTTGCATACTGTTAACATGCTTAATTAATTAACCAATACAAACAAGTAACAGATGTAAAAAACCTTTGCAAATTTTTAATTTGTAAGAATAAAAGATGATATTTGTGTTTAAAACATGGCTTTTATTTATAGAAATTCTTTAAAAACCTTAGACGTTCTTGTTGTACTAAACAACATCGAGAAAATGTTTATCAGAATAATCCAACTTTAATAGAGATGAGCCGGCTGTTAGCTATCCACTGGTTTCTCTATGTCGCAACTAAAAGGAGAAATTATGCAAAAATAATTAAAGGAAGAAAACTCACTGTTTGAAATGAAATTATACAAACAATTTAAATTAAGGAAGAACTTTAGAAAAAAACGTTCAAATCAATGTTTTTTTGTTAGATTCTCACAAAAACAATATTAATTCATCATTTGGAACCATTTGTTTATAATGTCCACATTTCCTCATTTTCGCTGTTTTTCTCTGTGGTTGAATAGCTGCAGATGTGTGTGTCTCTCTGTGTGTGAGTGTCAAACAAAAATAATGCACAGCAAAGTTACTCATCCATGATCAGAAAACACCAGCCTTCATGCAAAGTTTTACTGGAAAATCTTTGTCCAGGTGGGCAGTGTTGTGCCATCACAAACAGGAGCCAGGAGATGGTAAAATGAAAACAATTTCTGATTCTGAAAAAGCCAACAAATACATTTGTGTGTAGATATACAAGCAGAAAGACCAATTCAGTTCCCAGGAAGTTCAACGTTTCCATCCGACCCATACAGTCCGAGGTGGAGAACGGCTCCGCCCCCTACTGAAAAACATCACTCAGGATTTTTCTCTTCTTCCTTTCACCTCATACATTCATTCAGTCTGACACTGCTTGGTTCAAACATCTCCAACAAGGCTGCTGTCTCCATCATCCACCTGCAGGAATCTCATGAAATTCTCCTCCAACTTTGTCCCAAGTTCCAACCGTGCATCTTTGGCAACGACTGCTTTCCTCCATTTACTCCATCAGAAATTCTTGATGCAAACATTTCCTCCCTTCTTGATTCCTTTATGTCATTGGCTGAAAGACGGATGGCAAGGTGTTGAAAAGACCCAGAGCAAAGACATCTAGGGAGACAACCTTGACTTGGATGAGATTCAGTTCCTCCTCACTAGCTGCTCAAAGTTCTCTGGAGACACTAAATGTCTATGCAGAAATGTATTTGGAAGGATCCATTCTAGATGTCTGCATCTCTTTCAGCTTCTTCTTAATGGAACAGAGAAAACATCCTTTAGCTGTCCATCATCAGCATCCATTGAACAAATGACTTAATGTGTTTTGTACATAAGCAAAGTGATAGTATCAATCTGCTGGCCTTTAAATATGAAAACAGAATATTTGATCAGAGAGCCTCTGTTTATCCGATTTCAGACGTTTAAAAGTTCAAAGGGGCTTTAATGATGGAGCCTGGAAGCT